AATTATACATACAAAAGCAAGAAGTTATAAGCATTGAAGGGATTCATATAAAACCCCCCATACCAAGAAAGTAGGATTAAAATCTTAGCTGAACTTCGACTTTGTGCAAGGTGTTTGATATTCAAATTGCACTTTTCGGTCTTTTTCTGCATCCTGAACAGGCGTATTATATTAGCAATCTCGTACCCAGAGTATGCCCGTTCGCAAATTTGGTCATACCCAGCACCTAACCTGCGAACGGGCATACTCTGGGCTGTTTACATGATGGAAGTTGGGATGATTTTGATGTATTGAAATAAGTCACTAGAATAAACAAAAGTTCAAATGCTGGCTAACCGAACTCAAATGTTGTAGAGAAAATCATCTAATTCAAGATTTTTATAGCTTTTTGAACAACCTTTCGTTTACAGTTGATTATAATCCATCTCTAGAAAATAAAGTTTTTCACAAAATCATCGCGCCTTATATCTCGTCCTGGCAAAGCGGTTTAAGCGAGATCCGTATAAATAGCCCTTATTCAGCAAATTGCGTATGCTCCCTGTCTTTGATCCCTTGGGGGTGAGGCAGCACTTTCCTTGCGATAGTAACTTCTAGTTTTAAAATTTTCCCACCGTAGCAAAAATGGAAAAGAATATATTATATAGATTTGAACCACTTTATATAAATGTTCCATCCAGTCCTATTTCGCGGTCAGTGACTCAGTGATCCAGGTGAAATGTTTACAACATGGCGGCTGCAAAATGCGAAGGAAATAGTTTCTGGGACGAAATTGAACATTTAACCACGATATTACGAAGAGAAAACCGCACTAAACAGATTTCAAGGCTAGGCGGAGAACGTAATCCACCTTGCAAGGACACGTCGAGACCAGAAGTTATAAAAAAAATCGAATTTTTTATCGAGGGATTGCTGATTAAACTTGGTCAAAATAATCTGCCAGATATTCAATTCAAGAACAGATGTTCATGGGCAAATGTGACGTTTGAAGAAGATGTCGGTGTAGGGATGAACAAAAATGCTTCAGAAACTTCAGTGAAACTGAACGCAAGCTATTCTGTGCAAAAGTATGCAATAACTTTAAAAATTTTACGTATTGCATATGGGTTGCTGCAAGAGAATGTTTACTCAACAAAAAGGGACATCTTCTATAACGATGTGCCGTTTTTTGGAAGTCAAACTATAGTTGACCGTGCAGTCGATGATATATCATGCATGTTCGATGTCCCTCGACACTCATTGCATATTCTAGCTTGCTCGAAAGGATATGTAAGTGGGCAGCTGTCGTTCCGAGAGCACGATGGCAACTTCATAAACTGCAGTGGGAACCCGAATGGCATAGTAATACCTTCTCATGTTCATGGTATTTACGATATATGCTCAGATGCAAAAGCAATCCTAGTAGTCGAGAAAGATGCAACATACCAAAGACTGTTGGATGATAATATTTTGGAAAAACTCAAACCAATTATCATGATAACAGGGAAAGGATTCCCAGATCTCAACACACGTCTACTGGTGAAAAGACTTTGGGAAAACCTAGAGATTCCTGTACTGGCACTGGTGGATGCTGACCCACATGGTGTCGAAATTATGTGTGTCTATCGTTTTGGATCGATGTCACAATCATATGATGCTGATAATTTAACAGTATCCTGTATGCGATGGATCGGTGTACTTCCATCAGATTTGGAAAGGTTATCAATCGACCAAGAGGCCCAGATTCCACTCACAGAGCAGGATCGAAGGAAGATTTCATATCTGTTGGATAGGCCATATCTGAAAGCTCATGGGTCAATGCAACAGGAATTATTGGTGATGTTGAATACAGGTTACAAAGCAGAAATGCAAGCATTGTCCGGGATTTCAACTGGATTTTTGACCGATGTCTTCTTACCAATAAAGATCAAGCATGGTAAATGGATTTAACTTTAACAACGGATTTGAATAATTTCAACTAATATTTTAACAATAGACTTTTTACTGTTTTGCTTTACTGCTTATTGTACTTTTGCCCCAATTGCCTCATTTCCATGTTTGCCTGTTTTAACATGGCAAGCACACATGAAGGTGATATGTTTTGTGTGCAAATACATTTTTCTTTGACACTGAACCTAATCACATGCAGGCCTATCCTTAAACATATTGTGCACAAAACATGAGCAAATAACCACATGAGAATGAGGCCATTGGGGGAAGAATGAAAGCACAGTCTATTGGTTTGAAAATTTTGATATTTATATAATTAATATTATTTCAGTAATGATTAGGAGTGCACCAGAACCAATATTTTAAGTTCCGGCTTGAACAGGATCTCAAATTCTAAAAAGTTGAAATATACTGTATGTCTTAATGGATGTATGCATATGTATTAATTAAAATGATGTCAGTAACATATGTCCAAATATTTGGTCCATATTCATTGAATAAACTTTATAATCTTTTTTCTAATGAAGACTGAGTTCTGGTTCCAGCCAATGGTTTTTTCATCAGCTCTGGCAAGAACCGGAAATCTAAAAAGCCATGGCCAGAGTTTCAGCCGGAACTAACCAGCTGGAACCGAGTTCTGGTGCACTTCCTAATAAGGACAACATTTGAGTATTTATTAAATTTTTAAAAATTAAATGGTTGAATATGCATTAATGAAAATGTGCAACAAGCAATATAGTGTTTAGCTGTTTCATGTTTGGCCCTGTTATCTACTGTATCATGTTACGATCAGTAGTTTGCAATATTAGGCGAAAAGGAAATTGGCATTACAACATCAAGAGGTTTACTATGGAGTTAGGAAGGGGACAAAATTCAGGTCAGATATCGTAGGGGCGGTTTATAACATCGAGTGGCGGTACATGCTGTCGATTCACAACGTCGAATGGCGCTTCATGTCTTCGAGTCGAAGGATCATGTCTTCGAGTCGAAGGTTTATGTCTTCGAGTCGAAGGTTTATGTCTTCGAGTCGAAGGATTATGTCTTCGAGTCGAAGGATTATGTCTTCGAGTCGCAAGTTTATATTTTGCGGACAGCGGTTTCATTTCTTCATTGAACACATTGTTGAACCTTACGGTGGTACATGGTCAGCGGGTGTTTTTCGCTGTCTGTGCAGTACTTCATAATGTATTTCATAATTTTAACCTACAATATTCATTGCAACATGAAGTAGTGGCCTGTCATCTTGCTCAAAATGGCGGAAAACCCAGTCAACCATGTGGTCTCCGTATTAAAAGAAGCCATAGAACATATTCAGAATCAGGGGCGTGGGAAGCGGGGGGGGGGGCACGGGGGACACGTGCCCCCCCAAATTTTTTTGAAGGACTAAAAGTGCCCTTTTTTGTGATAAAAAGTGCCCTTTTTGTGTTGAAAAGTGCCCTTTTTTGTGAGGAAAAGTGTAGAAGCTAATGTCGCTGTAAATACTAAATTAAAACAATAGGTGCCGTTTTTGTGTGGAAATTTACAATTTTTTTTTAAAAATTAGGTCACAAACATAAATTTCGGTTTGATACGACGGAAAATTTTCCTCAGGATAAATTTCTCCCCCCCCCCCTTCAGAATCAAATCCCTTCTGCAGGCTCTGCACCGAACACAACAGGCCCAACTAGTCTAGGACCTGTATATGAGTTTGTATGCATTTCATTTAGGACAGATAATCTCAACTGTTTTAGGGTAAGTTGACCATGACGGTCAACATGG